AAACAAATATAGTGTTTTGTGAAAAATAGAAATCACTGAGGCAATTGCAAAGAAATGTGCTCCAAATGTCGACTATGGAGCTAGAATGTGCACTATTTTTCCTCGATATTGTGAGCGCTCCTCTTTGGACGGATGTCGCAACTCCAACTCGGGTCACAGCTGAATTGAGTCTGCGATAGTCACGCTTGAAGTTGTTCCAGCTGCAGAAGAATACTCAACTCGCAGCACGCGGCAATTCGCAACTACAACGCCTTATAGATGGCGGGGCGGTAGTTCCAAGATGGCGGAAGAGACGGGGACAAACTTTCCATGCGCCTGCTCACTGACAATGGTCCGTGTGCTTAAATTAGTTTATTGGGCTACAAATGCAAAACAGCTGAGGCAGGTCACGTCATCGTATGTGGCAAAGCATTTTTGTTAATGGTGAAAAAAATCAGGCACGCAGGGGGGGGGGGGGGGGGGGGGGGGGGGGGCGGGGGGGCCGGGCCTTTTTTGAAATTTTCTATTTTGCTGGGACCTTCTCTCCCCCTCCCCCTCATACCGCATTTTGTCATCGGCGGCCCCCCCTCCCCCCCTTCCCGAAACAAAATCCTGGCTACGTTCCTGGTGAAAATATAATGGTGTCTGCACCGTGCCCAGTCACCAGTGCTCTAAAACGTGGGCCACGCGGGTGTGAACGTCAAGTTCCGGCAGGGCAGCGTTCACACTATTGATGCCAGAGGTTCTCAGCTCACAACACGCCGTCGCGGTTTTAGTGCACTGCAACACGTGATCAACTCGCGCCATGGTTACTAAGGAACAGTTTTAGCGTAGCGTAACCGCCGGTGAGGCTTTGCGACCAGAAGTACGCGCTGCACCTTTGAAGCAGGATTTTCAGCGCGCGCTAGAAGTGAGTGGCGTGCTCAGGTAGCCATGCGGTAACGCTACAGAGGAGATGCACCATAACGCCATCAGCAATTTTTGATTTATTATTGCTTTATAAAAAGAAATATTTCAATATACAGTATGCATCTACACCTGAGTACCGTGTTATTCGCATCGTCCCGACCCTTATCACATAAAACTGTCCATTCTAACCAGCCCTCATGATCGGCACTAAAAACGCTGCAAGCATTTCTTTATTCGCCTTTGTCTGACAACAGTTTCTGACAACTGACAACAGGTTCTCGAGCCTGCCTTTTGGAAGTGCGTGGAGCAAACTATCACGTTCCTTGCCAAGGCCTTTCAGAGCATAAAATTCGAACCCATTCCCGATGCCTATCGCTCGATGCACCGTTGAGCGAGCAGTCCTCTCCTATTTTTTCTGAAAAAAGACAGACTTTTCGTAGATGGCACGCAAGAATTTCGCGCTACTAGAGGAAGGTTTTGCCGTCACGTTGACCGAAAATTGTGACTGAGAGCTCAGGACCCAAAATCTGCAGCATATGCGATCTTCTAAGAAAACCCGATGAAATGAGACATCCCGGTCCCTTCTGGCAACGCTGTTGCAAAGCGGGCCACAACGATTCCTATTTTAACGCACTCGCTTTTTTGTGACAACTGCGTGATACACGGACACGCTGATAGAACAGCAGCAGAAAGGCCGGCGGACCCTGCCACTGTCTCCGCCGCCGTCCCCGCTCCTCTGGTTCTTCGTTCGTCCGCGAGAGGGCCAGCGGCTGGCTGGAGTTGCGAATAAAGTATTCAGAGCATAAGTGAGAATGCTTCTCTCGACACATAACTCGCACAAGAGCACCTTAACGTGGCGTGCATATATTTTTTTCTCCCACAAAAACAAGAGTGAAGGAGAAGCACTTCCCCGGTACTGTTCCTGCAATGTACTGCGGATAACATATTGCTACCCATTTCAAAAACACCTTCAACCGTAAAACTGCAGAAAAAAAAAAAAAAATCTCGTTTGCTGGCGCTTGGAAAGGCACTTCGCGGCTGCCCGGGCCGCCCGTCCGCCTGCCCGCCTGCGGTGACGTACGCGGGTAGGGAAAAGTAGGGATTTTTCATTGTTGCCAGTAGACAGTCGCCACCTGGAATTCTCGCGGCCGTAGTAATTAGAGAATTCAATAACTTCACCGAATGTTTTTTTTTTTTTTTCCTGTAATGAAATATTTTGGCTATTAGTTGAGAAAGGGTTATTGATGTGGACTGGCGATTTCCAGCCCAAATCAAAGACAATAAAACAAAAACGAAAAATTGGCGGCTTTCTGTACGGTTTACTTTCTACAGCAATCTGAATCTGATGCAAAATTTCTGTTAATACAAAAATGACGATTTTGAAAAAAGAGAAAGAAGAAAACACGTAAAAGTTAAAAATAGGTAGTTTGCTTCTACACGTGGCACGTAATGGTCATTACGAAATAGAATATCAAGTGTCAATTAAATTAAGCTTCTAAAAAAATTGCCCAAAATTCTTATTGATTTTTTACGTATTCTGCCACCGTAAGACACTTCAAATTTTCTTTGATAAAACTAAAGAGCTTCTTTTTTTTTAAAGGGGCGGTTTTGTTTATTGTGGACGCCGACAACACGTTCGGTCGAGTTGAAATGAAACTACCCCTCAGGTATCTTGCAAAATGGTGCAAGACAATATAGTATCTGCAGCATTTTAAAATTCAATCTGAAATCATATCGCAACTACCCTAGCTCCTTTACAGTTCTCAAAGCTCTAGGACATATTCTACATCAGGTAATATACTAGTGCCATTTACCAGTATTTGCTCGATCGCTTACCTTGTGTTACGTTTTCAACTGGGCAAAAACCTCACCAAAATTATCTCTTAAGTATCTGATCTCTTTTATCTCTATATTTTATTGCTTATTGGGTAGTTTCCTTTGAAATGGGACATGCGTGTAGGAAAAGGTATTTCGATTTGCATGAAAAAAAAATATATTATAGCCCCCTTTCCGCAATAATCAAAACTATGGGGGTGCCCGTACAACTCGGGTGCATGTACAAAAATAGAACAAAAAAGGGGGAACTTTGATTATGCGAGTTTAAAAAGATAACATCATTCGGAACAATAAAAAAATATAAGTAAGAAAGAAGAAAATGACCTCTTGTAATAACGCGATCGTAAATTATGAATAAATTTACTTTTTTTCTTTCTGGCATAAAATGTGCCAAGCAATTTAGTTTCAAGGGGGAAAAATAGGCCGTGCGTTATACATTTGCATGAATATTTACACCGAGTGTTTTTGTTATTACCTATTTATAGCAACCGGCAGAACTGTGTACAAACATCAAGCAGCCTAAACGTAAAGTATTTCCTCGAGTAATAGCTGCACTGTTTATCAAGAACACCTGAGGGTTCGCTTTTCCGCGGAGCACGGGGATTGCCAATCACAGCTTTCGACAGCATGCTTCAGCGGTTTACAGGACAACAGTGAAGATAACATCTGTGAAGATTGCACTTGTATCGAGAATCGTGTTTTCAATCTAGTTATTCACTGTGCTATTTATCCGCAACGCGATGATTGACTGTATATATGTTTTGAGGGAAAGTAGATGCAGGGGCACTGTTCATAATTAGTGCGGCTATTACCCGAGCAAATACGGTAACATTTCACTTCGCTCCACTTGAACATGTTTGCAGAGAAAAACAATTTTTATACAAAAAAGGTGATTTTGTTCGTGGCGGAAATGGGCAGTAATATATATATATATTTAGGAAGTGTTTCCAGGTGCTTCTAACTACGTAAAAATCTCCAAAAGTGCTTTGAATGATCATGGGCTACAAGGAACTAGGACATATGTCTGTCACAACATGGCGTCCATGAACCACGTGAGATCGGGAGACGGGTTGGACAAGCCGAGCAGAGCGATTACCCGATTGCATGTACAGGGTGTCACCCAAAAAAAATTACAGGGGTTTCTTTTACCGCAAAAATTAACAAGGCATCGCCGAACGCTCATTCTCCGCCCAAAGGAAGCGCTAGAGGTCACAACCTGATGCCAAAGTTTCAGCCCGATCCGATGCTTTATTCAAAAGTTATAAGTGATTTTCTGAACATTTCAATGGGAAATCGGAGCCCATTTTTGACCGTTTTTTGGTTTTTGGTGCCCATAGAGCCCCATGTATTCAAAAACTCCGTCAGCCGCCATTTTCCCATTGAAAGTTTCAGAAAATCACTTACAACTTTTGAATAAGGTATCGGATCGGGCTGAAACATTGGCATCAGGTTTTGACCTCTAGCGTGACCTCTGGGCGGAGAATGAGCGTTCAGCGATGCCTAGTTCATTTTTGCGGTAAAACAAACCCTGTAAATTTTTTTTCTTTTTATTTTGTGACACGCTGCACTCACATTTCAGGGACTCTCAGCGACGACGATTATCATGATGATGATGACACTGGCTGTCTTTGAACCAGTCGGTTCTGAAGTTAATTTGTACATAGGCATCATAAAACAAAACAAGAAGAAAAAAAATAGACACAAAGCTTTTTTTTTATGTTTTACTGCGTTTTTCGTTGCCAATTCTCCAGCCTCCTCTTTGTTTTTTCGGCTGCTACTATCACTGGTTCCTCCGCTTCATTTTCACCATGACGCGCTTTACCCTACGTCCACTTAAAAAGGGAACTCCGCCGATTTTTTTTTTTTTTTTTAGCTATTTATACCACAGGCATGATCTCAATGCCGAATGGATTCCTGATTCCGAAACGCTACCTCGCTCCCCAGATTCACTCTAGCTAATTTTTTTATGTATTTCGTTCGCTGCCGAATTTGAAACATCGTTCTCCCTAGTTTCTTCCTAGTTTTCCACGCCACTCATAGAGCCGAGCAGCACGTTTTGGCCTGCGTCGCCGTTGTCGTCGAAAAACGATGGGTGGCGACACAGGCCCCGCCGCCGTCGGCGTCGTCTGATACTATCTCGCGTCCGCCGAGAAAGCACGGGAACTTCTCGTGGTTGGTATATTTGTACTTTTTTGACTACTTCGTCGTTGGCGCGCGTTTGCCGTCAGATTTGCGCTCGGTTACAATGGCGAGGATTATGGGAAGCTGCTACTCACATCGCTGATGATCTGCACAGTGCAACAAAAACAGAGACAACAGCGGAGAAGACGCTGGTGGGTCAGGCCATCCCTCGGCGACCGTGCGACGCACGTCCAGGCTTGTCGTTTGGCGAATTTTACGCGCGCACGATGAGGTCTTCGTGCCTTTATCATCAAGCACACGACGGCTTTCCATCCACCACGTCGAGCAAAAGCTCCAAGCTAAAAGAAGGACCGGGCTTCGAAGTGGGCTGCGACTCCGACATTTTTTGACGCGTACTGTTGTGCCGTCTGCTCGAGCGGGATACCAGGGATACCGCTCCCTTCAGCGTTCTTCCCTGGTTCTCCCTTCCGGAAAACGACCTACGTCATGTCCTGTCGCTCGCTGATTGGCTTAAAGGACGCGCGTTGAGGGGGAAAATCGGTCTCACGCGTCGTCGAAAAATGCATCCCTCGGAAAGGGTACAGTACATACAAAAAAAAAAAAAAAAAAAAAAAGCGGCTCGAAACGCGCGTCTCGGCTATGTGGGAATGGGCCTTCGCTGGGGCAAGTGGCGTCACCTATGTGCGCTGTTCCAAACCATAGAAATTGTTTTTGACAAGAACCGCTAGATGACACCCCGTGCCTTTTGAGAGCAGGTTCCAGAGTAAATCTAATACGTTTCTGCTGTAGCCGGTGACAGGTTAAGAAAGCAATACGTGCTGCACCTCCAGCACGAGTTTCCTGCCTTTCATACTCCGTTGTACGCGAGCGCAACCAAAGAAGGCAACGAACGCGTGAAGAAGGCGGAGCTTTTACACCTTTCAGCGGCAGTTTTGAACAAGGCGATTGACAGCGCGCCTCCCTGGTTTTCAGTGTGTGCGTCAGTGTTCCGCGACTTGGCTGCGTTGTGTTTTTTCTCATGAGTATGCTGTGTCAGGGTGGTGACTAAATTTCTGCAATTTTCTCTTTTCCTTTTTTTTGGAGCGCAGCTCTTACACTCTTAAAAATGCCCGTGCGTCTGCTTTCCCGCACAACACTCAGAGAGCCAATCACCGCAACTTACGGAGGCAGATCAGCGAATGACGATGCCGAAACATATGTTTAGACCAAAAAACGCAGTCTGAGTTGTGACATTAAGCAATGCAAAACGTCACGCTGGCATTGGTTAATGTCATAACTCAGACTGCGTTTTTTGGTCTAAACATGTTTCGGCATCGCGATTCGCTGATCTGCCTCCATAAGTTGCGCTGATTGGCTCTCCGAGTGTTGTGCGGGAAGGCAGACGCACGGGCTTTTCTTAGAGTGTAGGGGCCCGTTTCCGGCTTGAGCGGCGTCGCCTTCGGCGTCGGTGTCGGCGTTGCCGTCGGCGTAACAGCGAGGTCACGTGACCCCCCTGAGGTCACGTGAATCCCCTTGAGGTCGCGTGACCCCTCGAGGCCACGTAACCCCCCTTGAGGTCACGTGACCCCACCACCTTTGAGGTCACGTGACCCCGCTGAGGTCACGCGACCCCCCTGACGTCACACGACCTCCCCCTGAGGTCACGTGACCTCAAGGAGTCACCTATTCCTCAGTACGCTTCCATCCCCCTCCTCAAGAGCTGCGCTCTAATCCGGCGTTACAGGGAATTGTAAACGGTTTAATTTTTTTTTGTTGTTGTTTTTATGGTGAATATTATTGTTTGAGGCCTTTCAGAATGCATTTTACCATCTTCGGAAACAAAACCAAACAAATCAAAACTATTTTTGGTGAGTTCGTGTGCGACGGAAAAAATGCAACTGTAATGTTTGTTTTATATCAAGCAGAGTTTTCACGCCGCCAATCTCTCAGCGGTGTCAATCTGCCAAGGTCTTAACTGTCGACAACATTTGGCCAAACGTGATAGCCGAATTGATTGGGCATTTCCCGCTAACAACATTTCAGCAAGTCTCGGCAATCGAATACCATATTGTACCTGCCCCACGGTGCCGCATTAACCGAATAAGGATTGAGAAGTTCTCTTCTGCACAGCACCATCGCAAACCGATGTTCGCGTCTGTGCCGTCCCCCACCCTAACCCGATCATCTGTTTTTGGCAAGAACCAAAAAGGCTCTCTGGGGATTCTCCCATTGGAGATAATCGTCGAAGAACGTCGAATGACCCTTTGTCGGAAGTCGTACAACATTTTTTTTTCTATTCGTTTGTTTACAGCAAAGGCCGAGCAGGCTACGACCCTTGGTTCCGGAATAATAATAAAAAAAAAAAAGAGAAAAGAAAATATAATGATGTAAAATAGAAAACTTTTTAAACAAATCAGTCTCATTTTTTATTCAAATCAGATTTTTTAGCTAAAAATAGTGACTCTTCATCATTACATGAATTTTTAAACAGGGTAGATTGCTTGATCGCTGATAATAATACGGATGAAAGAATTACACTGAATTTTAAAGTACGGCTATATTTAACAACTTTTTATTGGAATTGGTGTAACCCCCACCATACTAAAGCAAAAGCAGCCTGATGTTTTTTTTTCTTTAGTTAGCTAAAAATACTTATTTGCTTTCTCTTTCGTGTTTTTATTTTGTTGCAACAGAACGTTACGTAGCCGACGAACGAAGGGGAAAAAACCAAACTCTACGCTCCGATTTGCTCAAAAAGAGCACTTCCCTTTTCTCGTGTTCATCAGCCTGATTGCAATATCTCTTCCTTGATGTATCTTTGACTTCAGCACAAAACAAATGCACATAGAAAGCATCAAATGATAGACAAACTCTAAATAATAACTATTTTCGGAATTATTTTTTGAGAAAAGTTTGATTTAGATCACTCCATAGTAAAATCGATCTGATTAAAATCAGGATTTAAATCACCTTGACTTTTATTCACAATCCTGCATGGTTCTCACAGTTGAACATAACAAAAAAGTTGTAAGCGTTCTGATTCTGCAAATGTAGTAGGAAATTTTCGGGTAGAAAATTTTTCGACCTACAGGGACCGCGAGACTCGCGCTATTTTCAGCGAAATGGCGGTGGCTGAGATGGTGTAAGTCCCGGGATCTTTATAAGTAAAAAAAATGTTCTACCCCCTCCCGAGCTGTAGAAACCTGCTCAGCGCGGCTTTCCACCCGCTTTGCTCATATCAAATTTGCCGTCCTTTCTTTAATATGTATATATTCATGGGGAGAAACATTCACCGAAACAGGTGTCGAGTTAGGTTTGGGTTGGTGTTTTGAGGTTTAGAAAAAAGGAGGGACAGCCGGAAGATATGTTGACCTCCTCTGCGGGGCTAGGACTCCACGTCAAAATGTGCAACGAGACGGAATGTCCAACGAGTCAAAATGTCCAATATTGGACATTTCGTCTCGATGAACATTTCGTCTCGTTTGGAATCTTGACCTGGTTTGACATTTCGTCTCTTTGGACATTTTGAACCGATATAACATTTTGACCCGTATAACTTCATGTATCGTTGACCCAGATTCTGACACTGCATGATGCTGAGACGGACGTCTTTAGATATTCCGCATACCTACACGCGCCCCGGGTTTTCGTTAAAACGGTAGTAATGTGAGCACTTTCGGAAATCTGACTAGCTTTTGTTTTGGGGAAAACATAGTACTTCCTAGGGCCGAAGAAAAAAAAATTAATATGCGTTGCGCACGCTGAAAGTCTGCTAAAATTTAACCCTAGTGGTTGGAAGAAATGCCAAATTTCATATTAGTACTCTGGCTAAAAGATTGTGGACGATTTTTTTTCAAATGTTCAATGAACAAATCGGTTCGATTCCTTTTAACGGACTCTATTCATCTTCATGTATTCGCGGGCTCTTTTGGCCACCATTTCACCAGAGAAAGTTTCAGAGCATTGCCTAAAATAAATCAGAGTATACGTTATGCTCTGAAAACTTGGTGCCTTGCTCCAGCCGCTGGAGTTATATTCTGGCGGGGCTCACCGCGATATGAAGCTTATTTTCACAATGCCTAAAAAGTTTTTTTTTTTTTTTTTTTAAGGTTTTGCAAAATAAGGACCGGAAAGAGACAATTAATACTGGTTTTATGGGCGATGCTCCTTAGGGGCTAGCCATGTCCGTATGTCCGTGCGCCGTCGGGTGCACGTTCTCCTGCTCGTAAGCTCACGTGCTCACGAGCACAAGAGCACGTGCTCCCGTGCTCGTGTAGGACAAAAAAAAATACCGCATCTCTACGTGGTGACTGATGTTGATTGGGGCGAAGCTCTGGTGGTGGACAAAAAGTAAGGGCGCAAACGAGCTGGTGTACATTGCACATGGTTGAAAAAACCCCGAGACTGCGGGTAAACGACACAACACTAAAAAGTCTCTACTTTTCTTTAGAGACTTTTTAGTGTTGTGTCGTTTACCCGCAGTCTCGGGGTTTTTTCAACCATGTGCTCTGGTGGTGCTTGTCTGCGTAGACGCTGAGCCGCAGCATGCCGAGCCTTTCGTTCGTTTTTATCCATGTCAGAAAGAGAATGTGTGGTATGGAACGTGGTTATATAGACGCTTTCAGGCAGCTGTGCATGGGCGCCGCCATAACCGACCTTCAGTTTTTGTTCCCTCTTATTTCGTTCGCTTCACTTTGTCATTACCACAGTAGGACAGGCTATTGCCATTTTAGGTGTTACCGCTTCCTTCTCCCAAAGCGTAGGTCTCTCTGGAGGCTTGTTAACACCCGCTTCAGTGCCTGGGCATCTTGGTAAGACAATAGAAGGTCGGCTATGGCGGCTCAATCTGGCGCGCGTTGAAAGCGTCTATACGCTTTTGAGCATTTGACCGCAGCGTGACATGGATGAAAAAGAACGAAAGGCGCGGCATGCTGCGGCTCAGCGTCTACGCAGACAAGCACTACCAGACAACATCATTCACCACGTGGAGATGCGGTCTTTTTTCTTTTAACCTCTTGCGACGTCTTAGGACCAGCTCCACAGCAACGCATCCGGTCCAAAGACGTCGCAAGAGGCTTAAAAACCGGTCTGGTCTATCTCGGTCGTACACGGTTGCAAATGTGTGAACCGCCCTTAAGGCAATTGGAATGATACATATTGCAATTACATTATGGTGATCGAAGCAAAGATAAAATAGCGCTAACTGAAACTTTGAATAAGCTAGTGTGTACATAACCAAAAGGAATGAAAACGCAAAAAACATAAAAAAACACGGGAAAAAAAAGAAACGCCGTGTTTTCAAAATTACAAGTGCGTTCATCCTCACCTTATTTTAGTCGTTCACCCCGAATCGTTTCCTGAGACAGGCCGAACACATGCAGTGTGTACGAAGAAACCTAGCATGCTTCAGTAAAAGAACTTGTTGTTGAGCTAGTTGGTGTTAACTGTATTGAAC